ACAGAGCGAACACACAGCGCTACAGAGCGAACACACAGCGAACACACAGCGAACACACAGCGCTACACACAGCGAACACACAGCGCTACACACAGCGAACACACAGCGCTACACACAGCGCTACAGAGCGAACACACAGCGAACACACAGCGCTACAGAGCGAACACACAGCGCTACACATAGCGCTACACACAGCGCTACACAGCGCTACACACAGCAAACACACAGCGCTACAAAGCGAACACACAGCGCTACACACAGCGCTACACACAGCGCTACACACAGCGAACACACAGCGCTACAGAGCGAACACAGCGCTACACACAGCGAACACACAGCGCTACAGAGCGAACACACAGCGCTACACATAGCGCTACACACAACGAACACACAGCGAACACACCGCGAACACACAGCGCTACAGAGCGAACACACAGCGCTACACACAGCGCTACACAGCGCTACACACAGCGCTACACACAGCAAACACACAGCGCTACAAAGCGAACACACAGCGCTACAGAGCGAACACACAGCGCTACACACAGCGCTACACACAGCGCTACACACAGCGAACACACAGCGCTACAGAGCGAACACAGCGCTACACACAGCACTACACACAGCGCTACACACAGCACTACACACAGCGCTACACACAGCGAACACACAGCGCTACACACAGCGAACACACAGCGCTACAGAGCGAACACAGCGCTACACACAGCACTACACACAGCGCTACACACAGCACTACACACAGCGCTACACACAGCGAACACACAGCGAACACACAGCGCTACAGAGCGAACACAGCGCTACACACAGCGAACACACAGCGAACACACAGCACTACACACAGCGCTACACACAGCGCTACACACAGCGAACACACAGCGCTACACACAGCGAACACACAGCGAACACACAGCGCTACAGAGCGAACACACAGCGCTACACACAGCGAACACAGCGCTACAGAGCGAACACAGCGCTACACACAGCGCTACACACAGCGCTACACACAGCGCTACACACAGCGCTACAGAGCGAACACACAGCGCTACACACAGCGCTACACACAGCGAACACACAGCGCTACAGAGCGAACACACAGCGCTACAGAGCGAACACACAGCGCTACACACAGCGAACACACAGCACTACACACAGCGCTACACACAGCGCTACACACAGCGAACACACAGCGCTACACACAGCGAACACACAGCACTACACACAGCGCTACACACAGCGAACACACAGCGCTACAGAGCGAACACACAGCGAACACACAGCGCTACAGAGCGAACACACAGCGCTACACACAGCGAACACACAGCGCTACACACAGCGAACACACAGCGCTACAGAGCGAACACACAGCGCTACACACAGCGAACACACAGCGCTACACACAGCGAACACACAGCGCTACAGAGCGAACACACAGCGCTACACACAGCGAACACACAGCGCTACAGAGCAAACACACAGCGCTACACACACCGAACACACAGCGCTACACACAGCGAAGACACACCGCTACAGAGCGAACACAGCGCTACACAGCGAACACACAGCGAACACACAGCGCTACACACAGCGAACACACAGCGAACACACAGCGCTACACACAGCGAACACACAGCGCTACACACAGCGAACACACAGCGAACACACAGCGCTACACACAGCGAACACACAGCGCTACACACAGCGCTACATACAGCGCTACAGAGCGAACACACAGCGCTACACAGCGAATACACAGCGAACACACAGCGCTACAGAGCGAACACACAGCGCTACACACAGCGCTACAGAGCGAACACACAGCGCTACACACAGCGCTACACACAGCGAACACACAGCGCTACAGAGCGAACACACAGCGCTACACACAGCGAACACACAGCGCTACAGAGCGAACACACAGCGAACACACAGCGCTACACATAGCGCTACACACAGCGCTACAGAGCGAACACACAGCGAACACACATCGCTACACACAGCGAACACACAGCGCTACAGAGCGAACACACAGCGAACACACAGCGAACACACAGCGCTACACACAGCGCTACAGAGCGAACACACAGCGCTACACACAGCGAACACACAGCACTACAGAGCGAACACACAGCGCTACACACATCGCTACACACAGCGAACACATAGCGCTACACACAGCGCTACAGAGCGAACACACAGCGAACACACAGCGCTACACACAGCGAACACACAGCGCTACAGAGCGAACACACAGCGAACACACAGCGAACACACAGCGCTACACACAGCGAACACACAGCGCTACACACAGCGAACACACAGCGCTACACACAGCGCTACAGAGCGAACACACAGTGAACACAGCGCTACAGAGCGAACACACAGCGCTACAGAGCGAACACACAGCGCTACAGAGCGAACACACAGCGAACACACAGCGCTACACACAGCGCTACACACAACGCTACAGAGCGAACACACAGCGAACACACAGCGCTACACACAGCGAACACACATCGCTACACACAGCGAACACACAGCGCTACAGAGCGAACACACAGCGCTACACACAGCGCTACAGAGCGAACACACAGCGAACACACAGCGAACACACAGCGCTACACACAGCGAACACACAGCGCTACACACAGCGCTACAGAGCGAACATACAGTGAACACAGCGCTACAGAGCGAACACACAGCGCTACAGAGCGAACACACAGCGCTACACTCAGCGCTACACACAGCGCTACACACAGCGCTACACACAGCGCTACACACAGCGCTACACACAGCGCTACACACAGCACTACAGAGCGAACACACAGCGAACACACAGCGCTACACACAGCGAACACAGCGCTACAGAGCGAACACACAGCGCTACACACAGCGCTACAGAGCGAACACACAGCGAACACACAGCGAACACACAGCGAACACACAGCGCTACACACAGCGCTACACACAGCGAACACACAGCGCTACACACAGCGAACACACAGCGCTACACACAGCGCTACAGAGCGAACACACAGTGAACACAGCGCTACAGAGCGAACACACAGCGCTACACACAGCGCTACAGAGCGAACACACAGCGCTACACACAGCGCTACAGAGCGAACAGACAGCGCTACACACAGCGCTACACACAGCGAACACACAGCGAACACACAGCGCTACAGAGCGAACACACAGCGCTACACACAGCGCTACACACAGCGAACACACAGCGCTACAGAGCGAACACACAGCGAACACACAGCGCTACACACAGCGAACACACAGCGCTACACACAGCGCTACACACAGCGAACACACAGCGAACACACAGCGCTACACACAGCGCTACAGAGCGAACACACAGCGCTACAGAGCGAACACACAGCGCTACACACAGCGAACACACAGCGAACACACAGCGCTACACACAGCGAACACACAGCGCTACACACAGCGAACACACAGCGCTACAGAGCGAACACACAGCGCTACACACAGCGAACACACAGCGCTACACACAGCGAACACACAGCGCTACAGAGCGAACACACAGCGCTACACACAGCGAACACACAGCGCTACACACAGCTAACACACAGTGCTACACACAGCGCTACACACAGCGAGCACACAGCGTAAACTTTATCCATGATGTGGTTTATAATGGACTGTGGTACAGAAACAGTGACAGTGTTACACACTCTTGGCGTACTCTGGCTATCCTCTGCTGTCTCAGACGACGATATGTTTGTCCCGTTTGAGCCACCGTAGCTTCTTCGAAAGGGAGGGGTGAGCAGTGGGCGGAGCCATTAGTGCAACTCGCAACCGAACCGCTAGATGCCGCTAAAATCTACACACTGCACCTTCAATGGTCTTGGGTGGACTTTTATGTTATTTCATGTTTTGTAGTCCTTTGTAGTTTTTCTTGTATTAGTTCTTTGATTGTTCCAGGTGTGTCTTCTCTGATCATCACCTGTTGTGTATAAATACCCGTGTGTTTCTCAAGCTCTTTGTTTGGTGGTGTCCTATCTGGATGTGGTTTAACTTTCTGTTGTTATTTACTTCTGTTGTCTTCTTTAGATAAACATTCAGCTGCATTTGGACCCAACACCCCGTTTTTCCTAAACATTTATTTTTAATTATCAATCTGTTATCAATTATTTTATTTCAGTTATTATTACATCACAAGGTACAAAGGAAGAGAACAACGAACTGAATCAAGTGAATGTCCTTCAATCATGGATGACTGCACAAAACGTACAAACTAACAAACACATCATTAACTGCAAAAGGTAAACAACTGTTGTCTGGGCATACGTCATCGAGGCGCTGAATTAGGCAACCTTTATGAAATAATCCACTAAACCTGCTGAGATGACCTCAGCTCTGGGAAACTCATGAATATTCATGTAATCTCCGAAAATCTCGTGAGAGTGGAACAACTTTTCTCTCTCTGACGAGACGCGCACGGGCGAGTGACGTGTGTGTGCAATTTCCCGCGAAAACCATCCCCACAGGTCTAAGATATGAACACGTTAGTAGACAAAAACATGTTCTGGAAGAAGGATTCATGATGTATGTTGAAAAAAAAAGTTTACATATAGTGGGCTAACCTTAATAACGATCTCAAAACATTAGCACTATTCATGGAACGTTTTTTTCGGAATCATTCCTCTGTTTATTTTTTTTTTTTAATAAGTGTTTCAGAATGTTTAGATTAACATTCAAAGGCAATGTATAACAATAATGTTAGCAAAATGATAAAATGTAATGTTCCCTTAACAGTCGCATATATAACAGGATGTAGCGTTCAGATAACATTCAGGAATAACGTTGGGAACGTTCGAAAAGCGTTCCTCGAACACATATTTCTTATCCGAAAAAATAAAATAAAATATTTTCTATTATGTGCGTGCGTGTACGCCGTGGCCCAGGTGCTCGCCCATGCCGAGTTTACAGGAGTGAAGCGCACTCACTCTGTCGCGTCGCGTTCACCGTTTCATCATCGCATCTGACAGCGGACTCTCCTGTGAAGAACAGCAGCTTCATCCCCAGAGAAGAGGAAGAAAGGGAAGACATGACACTCTCTCCTCTTTCTTTCCGCGCACTTCATCTGAGAGAAACTGCAGCACGAGCACAGACACATGCACGCGCTTTCCTCGTCATCTCTCCGCCTGGACACACACACACACACACACACACATGTGCTGTACGCTGGGCTAGTCTGTAGCTGAGTTTGTGAACGCACAATCCTTCATCTCTTCAGAAGACCTGGACATCATTGAGCATGAAGTGTGTGTTGTACTGTGTGTTCCTCCTGTGGATTACACTCCACATCTGCGTGTGCGCGTCTCCTCAAGGCATTCCCCTGGCAGTGTGAGTACACTTTAATATATCAAACATCAGGTGTTTTATACGGCTTGCTCTATTCATTTTGTGCAACTATTGCTGACAGAAAGGCATATTAACACGTTGTCATTTTGTCTCAAATGTATTTGCTGTTAGACATAATTACGCCCACACTGATCCCACAAAATGCTCATGAATTTCCTTGCATCAACATTCCGTGTTTATTACCTTTCAACAGTTCCACCTAAAAGTTTTTAAACTTTTCTTTTGATTTTAAAGTTAACTGAGAAGGAGATATATTTGCTTAAATACACTCTTAAAAAAATAAGGTTCTTTATTTGCATATGGTTCCATAAAGAGAAACTTTTCCATTCCACAAAGGGTTCGTTATAGTGGACAAAAACATTTTTTAGATTATTAAAATGTTCTTCAAGTTATGAAAAATATGGTTAATTTAAGAACTGATCATTGAAAGTTTCTTTGTGGAAGCAGAAATGGTTGATCACTGCAAAAAAAAACCAAAAAAAAAAAAAAAACCTTTTGAAATTTTTAAGATTGTCAAATACACATTATTAGAATTATATAAGATTTTAAAATGCGGTTTGAGTTGAAATACACTTGTCAACTATGTTATGCTTATCTTTCCTTACCCAATATGTTTAGCTTCTGTCAAATTCATGTCCTCATATTTTTGTTCCCTGGTTCTAGAGTGAAACTTTGGGCTTCAGCGTTTGGCGGAGAGATTAAGTCCATCGCTGCCAAGTACTCCGGCTCTCAGCTGCTGCAGAAGGTAGATCACTACACCAGCACTAGATCACTACACCAGCACTAGATCACTACACCAGCACTAGATCACTACACCAGCACTAGATCACTACACCAGCACTAGATCACTACACCAGCACTAGATCACTACACCAGCACTAGATCACATCACATCACTACACCAGCACTAGATCACTACACCAGCACTAGATCACATCACATCACTACACCAGCACTAGATCACTACACCAGCACTAGATCACATCACATCACTACACCAGCACTAGATCACTACACCAGCACTAGATCACTACACCAGCACTAGATCACTACACCAGCGCTAGATCACTACACCAGCGCTAGATCACTACACCAACAGTAGATCACTACACCAACGCTAGATCACTGCACCAGCGCTAGATCACTGCACCAGCACTAGATCACTGCACCAACACTAGATCACTGCACCAGCACCCAACACTAGATCACTACACCACTACTCCACCACTAGATCACTACACCAGCACTAGATCACTACACCAGCACTAGATCACTACACCAGCACTAGATCACTGCACCAGCACCCAACACTAGATCACTACACCACTACTCCAACACTAGATCACTACACCACTACTCCAGCACTAGATCACTACACCAGCACTAGATCACTACACCAGCACTAGATCACTACACCTACACCAGCACTAGATCACTACACCAACACTAGATTAGAGTTCTCAACGGGTCGGGACGGGACCCGCGGGTTCGGGCCGGGTTCGGGTCAAAAATATTTGCAAATGACTCTGGTCGGGTCGGACCTCGGGCTTAATCTTTTGAATTGTACAGTGAAAGAAAAAAAAACATTTATTATTCATCGCTGCTGTTCACTGTAAAGAAAGTCTGGCTGCTGCGTGCAACGTGCATCGCGACGCGAGGGCAGACCTGACGCCGCTGCGTGCACGCCTTTAGCCCGGAGAAGAAGATGGAGTTGGTGAAAAGTAAACTTGCTGCAGGTGAAATCACCGTTGCTCAGGGGCGGCGCGACACGTTGTGTGATTATCTCGGCAGTTTAGGACATCGCACAAGATTTGCGTCAATACAGAAAACATTTAATCACTGGATAGTTTTTTTCGTTTATTGAAATGTGGTTTATGTCAGCTGGATGGGCGGAATGTGTGAGACGTGAGAGTGCGCGCGCGCGCGGCCGGGGCTCTCTCTCTCTCTGCGTCAAGCGCAGCAGTCATAGAATACATTCTATTCTACATACATCACTCACCGATCAAAAGGGTGGCGTCGGGCCGCGGGTCGGGTTCGGGCAGATAATTCATGTTGATGTGTCGGGTTACATCGGGTCCGGGCTTTAAAAGCCACGGGCCGGGTCGGGTCGGGTTGTAATTTTCAGGCCCGTTGAGAACTCTACACTAGATCACTACACCAGCACTAGATCACTACACCAGCACTAGATCACTACACCAGCACTAGATCACTACACCAGCACCAACACTAGATCACTACACCAACACTAGATCACTACACCAACACTAGATCACTACACCAGCACTAGATCACTACACCAATACTAGATCACTACACCAGCACTAGATCACTACACCAGCACCAACACTAGATCACTACACTAACACTAGATCACTACACCAGCACTAGATCACTACACCAGCACTAGATCACTACACCAGCACTAGACCACTACACCAGCACTAGATCACTACACCAGCACTAGATCACTACACCAGCACTAGATCACTACACCAACACTAGATCACTACACCAGCACTAGATCACTACACCAGCACTAGATCACTACACCAGCACTAGATCACTACACCACTACACCAGAACTAGATCACTACACCAGCACTAGATCACTACACCAGCGCTAGATCAGTACACCAGCGCTAGATCACTGCACCAACACTAGATCACTGCACCAGCCCTAGATCACTACACCAGCACTAGATCACTGCACCAGCACTAGATCACTACACCAGCATCCAACACTAGATTACTACACCACTACTCCAACACTAGATCACTACACCAGCACTAGATCACTACACCAGCACTAGATCACTACACCAGCACTAGATCACTACACCAGCACTAGATCACTACACCACTACACCAGAACTAGATCACTACACCAGCACTAGATCAGTACACCAGCGCTAGATCAGTACACCAGCGCTAGATCACTACACCAGCGCTAGATCACTACACCAACACACCAGCACTAGATCACTACACCAGCACTAGATCACTGCACCAGCACCAACACTAGATCACTACACCAGCACTAGATCACTACACCAGCACTAGATCACTACACCAGCACTAGATCACTACACCAGCGCTAGATTACTACACCAGCGCTAGATCACTACACCAGCGCTAGATCACTACACCACTACACCAGCACTAGATCACTGCACCAGCACCAACACTAGATCACTGCACCAGCACTAGATCACTGCACCAGCACTAGATCACTGCACCAGCACTAGATCACTGCACCAGCACTAGATCACTGCACCAGCACTAGATCACTGCACCAGCACTAGATCACTGCACTAGATCACTGCACCAGCACCAACACTAGATCACTGCACCAGCACTTGATCACTACACCAGCGCTAGATCACTACACCAGCGCTAGATCACTACACCAACACTAGATCACTACACCACTACACCAGCACTAGATCACTGCACCAGCACCAACACTAGATCACTGCACCAGCACTAGATCACTACACCAGCACTAGATCACTACACCAGCACTAGATCACTACACCAGCACTAGATCACTGCACCAGCACCAACACTAGATCACTGCACCAGCACTAGATCACTACACTAGCACTAGATCACTACACCAGCACTAGATCACTACACCAGCACTAGATCACTACACCAGCGCTAGATCACTACACCAGTGCTAGATCACTGCACCAGCATCAACACTAGATCACTGCACTAGATCACTGCACCAGCACTAGATCACTACACCAGCACTAGATCACTGCACCAGCACTACATCACTACATCAGCACTAGATCTCTACACCAGCACTAGATCACTGCACCAGCACCCAACACTAGATCACTACACCAGCACTAGATCACTACACCAGCACTAGAGCACTAGATCACTACACCAACACTAGATCACTACACCAGCGCTAGACCACTACACCAACACTAGATCACTACACCAGCGCTAGATCACTACACCAGCACTAGATCACTACACCAGCACTAGATCACTACACCACTACACCAGCACTAGATCACTACACCAACGCTAGATCACTACACCAACACTAGATCACTACACCAGCACTAGATCACTACACCAGCACTAGATCACTACACCAGCACTAGATCACTACACCAGCACTAGATCACTACACCAACGCTAGATCACTACACCAGCGCTAGATCACTACACCAACGCTAGATCACTACACCAACACCAACGCTAGATCACTACACCAACGCTAGATCACTACACCAGCACTAGATCACTACACCAGCACTAGATCACTAGATCACTACACCAGCACTAGATCACTACACCAGCACTAGATCACTACATCACTACACCAGCACTAGATCACTACACCAGCACTAGATCACTACACCAGCACTAGATCACTACACCAGCACTAGATCACTACACCAACGCTAGATCACTACACCAGCGCTAGATCACTACACCAACGCTAGATCACTACACCAACACCAACGCTAGATCACTACACCAACGCTAGATCACTACACCAGCACTAGATCACTACACCAGCACTAGATCACTACACCAGCACTAGATCACTACATCACTACACCAGCACTAGATCACTACACCAGCACTAGATCACATCACTTCACCAGCACTAGATCACTTCACCAGCACTAGATCTCTACACCAGCGCTAGATCTCTACACCAGCGCTAGATCTCTACACCAGCGCTAGATCTCTACACCAGCACTAGATCACTACACCAGCACTAGATCACATCACATCACTACACCAACCACTACACCACTACACCAGCACTAGATCACTACACCAGCACTAGATCACTACACCAGCACTAGATCACTACACCAGCACTAGATCACTAGATCACTACACCAGCACTAGATCACTACACCAGCACTAGATCACTACACCAACGCTAGATCACTACACCAACACTAGACCACTACACCAGCACTAGATCACTACACCAGCACTACACCAACACTAGCTCACTACAGCCAACACTAACCTTTCTGCTCACTAACCCAGCACTAGGGTTCTGCTCACTACACCAAGACTAGATCACTACACCAGCACTAGGGTTCTGCTCACTACACCAGCACTAGATCACTACACCAGCACTAGGGTTCTGCTCACTACACCAACACTAGATCACTACACCAACACTAACCCTTTCTGCTCACTACACCAGCACTAGGGCTTCTGCTACACTGTACCCTGGTATTCTCTGAAGTGCACCCTCTCATTGTCATGCTGTATGAACACATGCTATTTTTGAGTATTAATATAAGGTTTTATCTCTTCCTGTGGTCCTTTCAGCACAGAGAAGTGTGTGTGCTTCTGTTCCTGCAGCTCTCGGTTATCACACTCTTCCTCACACACAATCTACGCTAATTAAACCACCCACGAGCAGCAACCCGCTCGCCTCGGTGTGTGTAGCTCTTCCATCGCTCGAGTGGTGTGTGTGTGTGTAGCTCTTCCATCGCTCGTGTTATGTGTGTGTGTAGCTCTTCCATCGCTCGAGTGTGGTGTGTGTGTGTAGCTCTTCCATCGCTCGAGTGTGGTGTGTGTGTGTAGCTCTTCCATCGCTCGAGTGGTGTATGTGTGTGTAGCTCTTCCATCGCTCGTGTGTGTGTAGCTCTTCCATCGCTCGTGTTATGTGTGTGTGTGTAGCTCTTCCATCGCTCGTGTTGTGTGTGTGTGTGTAGCTCTTCCATCGCTCGTGTTGTGTGTGTGTGT